AAGGTATCGAACGTGTTTAATGGAGTACGTACGACATAACACACCATTGCTCTTTACACGCGAATTACTTTATACGTGCCATGATAGTTAATCCTCATTCATCAAACTCCCATTGTGTCCCGGTGGTGGATACATATAATTGCGTATTGATATACTAGTATGTTTTTCGTCCACAGGTTCTCGCGTGTCGTACAGACTAGGTGCTTGACATATTATGCTTAGCGTGCCACCGATGCACGCAAATGTAAATACCCAAAGAAAGAATCTGTCTAAAACCATAGCTACGAATTTCCAATCTTCTATGACCTACGGAACGAATGAATATTTCTAATATAAGTGATCAAATTCAATATTGTTAAGATTCTTGATAGATAATTATTACATTACGAGAAAGTGCGTAGAAAAATATAAAAATGAGTATATTAGAAGGTGTGATTTACCTCATTATCTTTATCTGCATCTTTTATATGTTGAGCAATGAAACGTACACCTTTGAGAGCTGATATGACATCTGGGGATAAATGTTTTGGCATAATGTTTTCGCTGTCAGTAACTGAAATAATATTTATTGTTAGTCAATATATTTTATAAGATTAATCTTAATTTTTTTCTTTTTGTACTCAACATCGTATTCAACAGATTTAGGGTGTTCGATTATTATTTTACTGATGCAGATTACATATTAAATATTTATAATATACGTGTATATACTATATGTACGTTTTTACTATATTGCAGTAATGTATGATTGTGTAAAATAAACAAATTGAGTGATTTTTTATTCATAAATTAGATTTCTTATTTCGAAGAATTAATTATTCATTGAATATCGCCAGCACAAACATTATGAAAAAATACGCGCAAGAATTAAGGGATAGAGATCATTTTCTAACAAATAACAGAAGTATTACCTGATGCATGCGGTACGTGTCGTGCATCGTCATCTCTAATACTTTTATATGTTGAAGTAACACTTTCGAACGCGTCGGGGCTTCCTTTCAGTTCCAAAGGATAATCACTTACACTGTCATGAAAAATTCCAAGTGTTAAAAGATTAAATATCTTTAACAAAGAAAAAGAACAGGCATTACCTGTAATCTATTTCATTTGTGTATGCACTATCCATATAAGCGTCATCGTATTCTGGTGTAGAATACGGCGTGCGACGCATCATCAATACTCTCGGCATCCAATTCAGAAACATATGTCTTACCCATGGCGACATATTATGCGTGGAAGGAGATCTACGACAAGAATAATTCGATGTTCGATTTTATTCACTAAAGGCTAATATAATAAATATTAATTAATTTGCGCAACTGGTATTTATGCGATAGCAAAATCATTTGAGCCCAATAAAATTCGGATTAGAAAACTTAATTCTGATTGGAAAATTGCGGGAAAATCGTGTGTTCTTTAATAAAATGTTTACCCCCACCTGAGATATTAAAATTAATAAATAAATTAAATACATCTTATTTATTTTCTTAATCACATTTATATGTAAATAGATACTTTTTTCACTTAAAATATTTTCCAGACATTCATTTCTAATTAGTTAGATCATGTATAGATAGTATTTGTGAAACAGAAGTACAAATCAATTGATGTTTCTAAAATATGTAAAATACATTACGACCTACCGGAAGTGTACGTTTAAGACGCAGACGGTGATCCAAATAGACAGGGTAACTAAAATCATGGTGAACAACAGATATTTTCCAAGCAAAGGTACAGCTAATGACGTTGGCGGAATAATCTCGGCTAAGAGCAAGAAGAACACCGTCAATGAGAGAAGGATGGAAGAGCATAATGATACCTGCACAAAAAATGCGAAGTAATAACAAATATATTTTGTGATGGTTAAAATATAATTAAATATTTTCTATACTGTCGAATTTATGACTACTTCGTTGAGGTGACGTTTCCATATTTGTGATATATGGACCGAAATGCGTTAACAAATGTTACGATTAAGAATTAAGGAAAAAATTTTCCCGTAACAAAATGTATATACATATAATAGCATGTAATGTATAATGTATAAACCTTAATGGCTCCTCAAATAATGTACCTACTTTTTCACCGGAATCACTGGGTAGATAAAAAACCAGCACCGTTAAAAATGTGATGCCAACGCAGGGGATGATAAGATTAACAGTATAAAATAGAGTTTTTCTTCTCATTGTAATATTGAATGTGATATCTGAAATTAAACGATAATTATGATTATCCAGATTAGATTCTAGACAAAATAATTTTAAATTGCTTCAACAACAAATAGCATAAGCAAGTGAATTGTTTTTACATCCTTATACACAATTTAAAATTTTATTAAATCTTACCTGAATAAGGTTCCTCACAGCATGGATAATATTCTTCGTTGCGTGCTGCTGGTACTTCCAGGATATCCCATTCCACGGATAGATAAAAATCGGTGAGGTCTATGCCGATCGCAACAATATTGCTACCAGGCTCCTGCTTCATGTGCTTCAGATCTACCTGCGGGAAAAGAACCTTACAAAATTTCGAAAAACGTCAAGACCAAAGCTATATAATCAAAAGTTACAAAAAACTTACATAGTGATTAAAACTTTTATTTATTATAATATTATACATATCATAAAAAAACAAAATAAAAAATTATGAACAGAAATAAAATGAAAATTAGTACATCTACTTAATAATTTATAAAACAAATCATTGAAATATAATTAATTAAAAATATAAATTATAATTCAATTAGAATTATATAAATAAATTAATTAAAAAAAAAACGAATTTGTAAGATATAAAATCGCAAGATGTTTTTTAAATAGAGATTTTTATCTCGAACTTTGAAGTTATCTTACATTCAGTTAAACTTTTCCAATCTTACGTTTCATTACTGTTTAATTTTAACTCTGGTGAAGTAAAATCTACTTTAAATTAGAATATGATTTTGTCATTTTTACCCCAATAAAGTTTGTTTGATGAAAACGCTATTATATCAACACACCTAATTACTTGAAGCTTCGATACTTTCATTTCAAGAGAAATTTTATTTTAGACTGATCAAAGAATCTTTGATTGAGAGAGTTTGGTTGTTCTAGGATATTCTGCATAGCTTATATACACGAATATACATTGTTATAACCTGAGCGCCATTGTAAGTCCACGAGCCGAATTTCATAATACACGATTGCTCATCGAACGGGAAATATTCCACGTTGATCTCACAGGACGACTTATAAATGGCCGGTGGTTTCCAGAATACTTCACCAGTGTATTTCAAAGTGGCCTTCGTCATTAACGTTACTTCATAATTTCCATCTGCACTGTGTAATAAAATGAGAAAGAGGATTAATTTAAAAATTGTTTTTTCATAACGTCTCATTTTTTAACTCATTTTAAATTGATATTTATCAAATAAATATCTGATTTCTCGAATTTTCATAAAATTTCAACGATAACGAATAAGTTCTCCTACTTTTATTTGGAAATCCTGCGACATAGAAATTATATTTTTATTTGATTCTATTAAAAAATCTTTTGCAATTTACTTGTTGTATAGAACGATATCCGGAAGCCATATGTTCTCGGAAGGCACGTATAACATATCTATACCACCATACTCTTGTGGATCCCACTGTAATTTATAGTCAAACCATTTCTGCAAGAAACGAACAGATATTAGTTTGCTGATTGTCTGACTACAACGCTCGGTTACTACTGCGTAAGTGAAACAAGCTAATATACACTGACCTGCTCTACCCAGACGTTGGTCGTCATCACTTGGTTCTTTAGATTCTGCAAAGTCAAGCGTTAGTTATTAACTTCCACAAACGTCTTAAATATAATATAAATAGAAAGTTATATATATTATAAAATTAATAATATATAATATTATATTATATAAAATTATAAAATATAATATTAAAAGTTGTATATTATACATATATATGTAAATAAGTTTTATTTATAATATAAATGTAATATAAATAGTAAAGTAAATAAAATTATAGCAAAATATAGTGCTGAGTTCTAAAATACTAGCATAGCAGTCTTATATTATATCAATCTGTATACCATTTCTATTAATTGCGACAGCTTTAATCCCAGCCAAACCGTTAGAGTCTCAGTATTATTAATCACAGGACGTATCAATCTATTATAATTGGACAGTAAATCGTCGTAGAGTCTCTTCGTATCAGGATTCGCTTCGAAAACAACTCTGTTTCCTGCGTAAAAGAATATTTATTAATATATCGTTTTAACATCTATTTCTTTTTTTCTTTGAAATAATATTTGTGTTAAAATAATTAGTTGTATTATATAATTATGTAAAAACTAAAATTTGGCTTAATTAAAAGACTAAATCTTAGAGTTAATAAATCTTGGACTTATATTATCGGAAATAAACAGACTGTTTCATAATTGTACTTGATTACGAAATAATGTAAAGTGACTTAGATTATTTCATATCTTGTTTCAGTAATGAAATTGCTCAATTTAAAATTTTTTTTTGAAAAATATAAAAAATTGTTCTTTTTTTTAATATAATTACTTATTCATAAATGAAAGACTCTATCTCAGAATTCTTCTTTCGCATTTACATAATAGAAATAAAAAAGGTAATAGAAACATATATGGAGTAAAAGCATACAGCAATAGAAAAAGTACCAAGAAAATGAAATGGAAATAAAATGCGTTTTTACAATAGAATTAATACGTTAATAAGTGTTTTTTATGTTTTTAGAAGATAAAAATTTCGGAGTTTAATATTCTTCCTAAAATAACCCCCTCTTTGGTTCTAGTTAAAATTTGTATTTGTGTGTGTGTGTGTGTGTGTGTGTTAAGAAATATTTATTTTCTTTAATAATTTTTAACGAAATATGCTTAAAACATTTATCTAGACACGCTAATTTCTTTCTCACTAATAAAATGTTATGATTGTCCAATGTAATAATATAAAGGTACATAAAAAATTTATATAATTTTCCCATATTTATAAATAAAAGACTAGTAATCACTTTCACTGTCAATCTAATAATCACTCGCCCTAATTAACAGGATAAGAATTATTGTTCTCTATATGATTATTCGTTCTGTCGATGGATCTGATGGATTATATTTCATCTGATAGTAGATAGCCAAACGAGCTCACCGTAAACGATACTGACGACATTGAGCAAAACTGTGAGCACGGTTGTCCGCATTTTCGGCGCTGTTTACAAATGCGTGCAAAAGTAGGACACTCGCGAGCACTCTCTACGGTAGGCTCTCACCCTTTGGCACATGTATCTTAGCGGTAGTTTTAGGTAAGAGGTGTAAAAAAAGCCGAGAAGGCAGGATAACAAAACACTTAGCGTGCTGAACGGTGGCGCGCGATCGGCGAAACGTTGGGGCGGCCAGCATCCCACTGGTCCACGATCGATATCCTAACTCGTCGCCATGACGCTCGCGCCGTCTGCTCAGGGCGCGACTTGTTCTACTGGCGTGCAGGGGTGGTTCGCGCCTGCCTGCATCTGCGCGCTTTATACGAAGACGAAAACGCGGAAATCGAGGAGATCGCGAACCCGAAATGCATTCCATTGAGAGAGAAAAAGAGAGAGAGAGAGAGAGAGGGAGGGGGAGGGGAGAGAAAGCTTTTACGTCAAGAATTGAAGCCCACATAATTTCGGCGAGTTCGATTTCCGATGCTATGAGTTTGCGAAAAAGAATTTTACATTAATCGCCATTTTTCCATCGTCATAAATAAATATTGGGATTTATTTATGGCGTGTTTATGATAATAAAAAGTGACTTCGATAAAATAATATTACATTTTATATCTCTCTATCGTTTGTACAATTTCGTTTATTGATTCACGGAATGAAAGAGAACAGTATCTTTTCAGAGACCTTTATTGGTATGCTTTTAAGAAAAATACTTAAATATATATAATTAGAAAGTTTAATTAAAATGTAGTATTATTTCTACTTAAAGTATCATTTATATAATTATCTAAATTTTTTTTTAAAGATAAATATTAAATAATAATATTAATAATAATAAAATAACAATTTTATGTAATGTAATTTAGTATTGACACTTTTTACAACAAATTAAAAATAAAAAATTGTATGGAAATTAAGTTTTAAAAACATAAATAATTATTAAAACTGTAATCTTCGTTAAATTTCAAACAAACTTTGCAAACTTTTAATATTTAAAGATTTGTTATAGATATATTTAACACTCGACATTTTTGCTAAAAACTCGTTTTCAAATTAATCATGCGATGAAGAAAAGGTATTTTGATAGGTGTGAAACATCGAATATGTATATTTAACTGTCACTGAGAAAAATAATGTTGATATCGATTCTCAAATGAATCCGCACCTTAACGATGAAATACCGATGCACGTGTGGGGTAAGTGATGCCTTGTGCCTTGCGGTCATATCCCTCCCTTTGTACTCCTGCGTTCGCCCGACCAGACTGCTTGCACTAATATGGAAATATGTCACGAAACGTAAACGTCCGCAGAACCGACGATTAGCGTGAAATAAATCGATTTGTGGCATCGGGTAACATTGCCAAATCGCGCCGAAAGTCGCACGCCAAGTGAATCGGACATGAGAAATCCATTTGAATTTATCAAGATCCGCGCCGTTTAATGTCCGGCTGGATAAATTCCTTAAAAGCTACCTGTCGGGGAACGTCCCCATTCGGAGGAACCGCGGAGCAAATCGTTCTCGAAAACGAGGATCCCTCCAGTTGAGATGCGACTTTCGTTTAACATTCCGCAGGGTCGACGCAGATTTGTGTTCATAATACCGCCGAATAACGCGTCGTATTTCCTCCAAGGGAGGGTGCAATTATGGCGCAACATCTATCTTAAGTGGTGCATAATGTAGTGGTGTCCTCGGACGCCATGCTGTCTGGAAGGCTCTTCTGTGTATCCAAAACTGACCGGTCAACGGATATGTTTGACATTACTGACGCAAGAGGCTCTTGGAGAACGCAAAATTAACTCATTTATCTCATATTATATTCATGTATAATATTCATGTATATAATATTACGTACATGTAATATTTGTTTATTAAAATCGTGATTCTTTGATAGCAATAAATTTGAATTACATGTGCGTTTTCGAGGAGGAGAAGGAAGAAGAAGAGGATGGACACAGATGTTGAGATAAGATGAAAGTACTTTAATGCTTCAGGTACTTGCTCATCTACTTACACCATTGTTAAAACGAGCAAGGAAGGTTCGCTTCCTCACTTCTGCAAATACGTTATATGGACGCGTATATGTATGTGTGCGTGATACTCTCATTAGTTTCTGCATTACATGCAGCTTTGACCGTAATTTATAAGCAATATATTATCCAACAAGTATGCTTGACCAATATTGGTTTCTATGGTAATATTTCTTTAAAGTTCATGAAGATATTTTTCTAGTAAAAAAGAAGAATATTCATACAATTTTTCTTGGAAAAATTTTATATAAATATTTTACGAGAGAAGTAGAGGACTATTATTCCAACACATTACAACCGTGTTAGAATACTAAATGAAGTATTTTGCAACGTTACTTTACTTATGCGAAAGTATTTAAAAAAAGAAAATATAAACATTTCTTATATTAAAATTATATTTCTTTTTGTACAAATATTTAATTCAAATTTTGTCTTCTAATTACAATAATTTCAAGTAAATTTTGCTGGAAAATTTTTATATGCAACTATCACAAAAATATATAATATTAAAAATTACAAAATGACAATCCGGATTTTTAATACAAAATTATATATAAAAATATGTCTATATATGTTTTCTTTCTCTTGTATAATCTAACCGCAATTTTATACTTTTTGTAATTATTATTTAATTATTCTTTTTATTATTTTTTCTATATATATGGACAGAGATTACACATGAGAAAGAAAATATATGGACATATTTTATATATATATATAATTATATAGAAAAAATTTTTTCCGAGGACAGATGACCTCCATTGATATATACTTTCGGATTAATCAAAGAATTAAGTTAAAGTTAATCACGAATAGTGGATGACACTATATGTGTGCAATATTAATTTGATGGTCGAGAAAATTTACGACCAGGATCTTATATGAAACAACGTCGCAAAAAAGTGACGTTCCTCGAAGTCGCGGCGGTGGACCGGTCATGACGGGGACGTGCGATCGACGGGCGCGATTATCGATCAAGGATACGTAAACACACACGTACGCCGGGCCGAGGCACTTAGCGTATGTTTGTTTAGTGCCTTTTACGGCTATATCCGTGTGACGTCGCCTGTATTAGGCAGGGGCCAGTGTCTGGCACGTAGTTGAGAGTCCTGCGGCGCCGTGCTTCGAGAGGGTCATTTATAACTGTTATCGTGAAACTTACTAGCCCACTTACTACCCTCCGCTGTCTGTTCCCTTCTCTGTCGCGCACGGGAAGCATACTCGTAGCAGAAGCAGTAGCAGCAGCACCAGCCATTCCATCACGGTTTCTTTTATCTATCGGTCGTGTATCGCGACCAACGGACACTGCCACTCTGAGTAATGACACTTCTGGACGCGATCGATGGATCGCGTGCACTCCGGTTCGCTTTTATAATTTCTGCATTTTGCCGGATCACCGGCGATCCAGAACGTTTAACGTTAATCTACGATCGACGTGGGTTAATTCGTCAGTATTGCTATATATACTAACGTTAGATACTAACATTAATGGTTTATTTCACGCAACAAATTTTGCCAATATATGTTCTAGATCTAGGAGATAATTAAACATACAGAAAAAAAGAGAACTCGAGAGTTAGTCAAGCGTTAATATATATGTATAACTAATATAGGTAATATAAATAGTAAAGTTTACCAGAATGTACATATTGGATTAATTTATAAATAAGTTCCGTTTTACTTAACAAACTGAATTTTTATATTCAAAAACGTTGTAACAGTATAAGTACTGATTCGTAAATGATACCTTCTTAATTATTTTTTAATTATTCTTTTTGTTATTTTTTTCTATACATACGGAAAGATTATACAAGAGAAAGAAAATATATATATGTGGATATATAATTATACATGAAAAATTTTTTCCGGGGACAGATTATGATCTGCGTTGATATTTTCGGATTAATCAAAGAATTGAGTTAATCATTAAAGTTACCATAAATCGGATGACACTATGTGTGAAATATTAATTCGAGCCCATTTACTATTTGCAACAGATAGAATAATTAAATACTGTAGGTAATACTGCACGGAGAGAATTTTCTCTCAATATTTACCCTGAAATCATGGTAATTGAGGGACAACATGTACCACCAAGAATTTTATGCGAAGAATTTTAATTACGTTAAAATATAAAATATGTTTGATTAATTTTACTGAAATATATCTAGGAAATTTCAATAATTTTTCAAAATTTACCACTTTGCTTGGTAATTTTTATCACGTTGTTTGTAAAATGTCTTTTGTATATTTTAAAAATTCCTTGGTTGCCAAGTTGTCCCAAGTTTGTAGTGAATTTAAGGGTTATAACAAAAAATTTTCTCTCCGTGTGATTTCTCAGAAAAAGTGATTCAGTAATTATGTATAGCGGAATTTATTTGTGCATCAACTCAATATGTCAAAAGTAATATAATTAATCCAATGCGGTGCATTGAAATGAAATATGTTAACTAGGTTAATCTATCGCGAACATGCAGCGCCGTTAATGGATAATAATCCATAATAATCGATCGAGAAATAAAAGCGTGTTTGCTTACAATTTCCATAATTTTCCCGCGGCTTGTCTCTAAAGAGCCAATAACCGCCTAAAGTATATGTGTACTTTAATTACTAAAGATAATTACGTCATCATAAGGGCTGTTGAGGAACAGAGGTTTACTATGATAATAGAGTATATCCAATATCTTGCTGAGTTATGCAGCGTGCGCGATACTGCTATTATATACTTCATATATACCACCACAGCCATACCGTGTATGTACGGACCGTTACACCTAAGTTTATCATCTAAATTATTTTTTAAATATAAAAATATAGAAACTTAAATAAAAATAAAATTAACACTATAGGATTGATATAATTTAAATTATCATAAACGATGGCATGATATCTGTCGTTTTATTATACATCTTCGTCGCACAATGTAAACTTTATTATATATAATATATATTAAAGTTACATAAATTATATAATTTTAATTTTATTAATAATTACATAATTTTATTTTATTATATAGTTATATAAATTCTACATATGTAAGTAAAGAATCGAGAGTGGATAATTTTATATATCTCGAGAACATCTGATTTTTGAAAACACAAGCAATTGTCGATTCGTTTCATTATACATATGTATACATCGATATAACTCTCTCTCTCTCGCCCGTAACTTTTATCTCATTCGAGAGGTAT